CTACTCTCAGTTTCCGCGTGATAAGCCACTTCATTGGGCCATCATTTGTGGCCAGGTCGCTTTTGAAAAGGAGCCACATAGCTCAGTGGGCCTTACGTGGTGAAATAAAAATTGTTGAAGTATTTAAAATACAGTAGTTAGTTTACCCCCCACTGGTTTCCCCCCCTGCTCCCTCCCCCTGTTCCTTTTCTTCCCCCAGTATGTTAGTTACATTACCCCTTACCCCTTCCCCATATAACATCTTCATACCCCTGCAGGTGGTCCCCACTTGGATAGGACAGTGAGCCCATTCCCCCCCCACCCCCTTCTTAAGATCCTTTCGTGCCGAAATCGGGGTTGCTGTTTCTGAGTTGCAATGAAAACAAAAAAACAACTTTTTTTTCTTTGTTGGGAGCCGCCGCTTGTGCCGCTGCTGCCGCCGCCACTACCGCGTGCCAGCTGACTTTCCCAGTTGCCTCTAGCATCCTTTTGTGCTTGCCCAACACTCACCCCCCCACCCCCCTTTTCCTCCACGTCCGCCCATCCTCCGTAGCCCCCCAAAGCCCTATTTGCGTACAAACACAATTGTGAGCCTGCCGTCGGTCTAAATTATGCATCCAGACCGTTTGGATCTCGATTGTACACTCACTCACTCACTCCACCGCTCCACGCACCCCTTTGTCGGACTTCGTTTTTAGTTTTTTGTTTTCGCCGGCGAGGCCGACGGGTTGCACTTTATCGCTTGCATGACGGCATACGGTTCAATCGGTGTTTTGTGATGAACATTTTACAAACGCGCGAATGAATGTGCGTGGGCCCATTGTCTGCCACCTCGACGAATGCAGGGTTCGGTGTACGGACGCGGTCGTGAAATCCCGAATAACGCTTTGGGAGTTTCCGGTCGTGGCTGCTGGTTGCGTCGAGTGAGTGGACAACGTCTCACCGTGACAGAACAAAGTTGCCCGGATCATTACATTGTAGGGTCGTGAGAGGTGACAGCGGCATCGGAAGGCCGTCATCCAGCAGTGGGTTCACCATGGCTGATGATAATGATGGAAATAAATATTTATACGAAACAACTATAAACATTTTCACTTATTTTGTGTGAAACTAATTTTATCGTGGGAAGTATGGCACTTCTCATCATGTAGCTTTGCTCTGACGTTTGATAATTTTATTTTTAAAATGAAATTAGTTCGCTAACATATTTTAAAAAGTTCCTCTTGACACTCAGTGTCTACAGATAGTACATTCATCACGTGCAGATTCAAACCCTGTTGGCGTACAGCGTTTATTGTGATAATGCATCCTTCTGGATGATATCCAAAAAGAACACCACTAACATGCACTCGACACTATGGGATCCTGCGGGGATTTCGATAAAATTCTAAAGATATAAAAAAACAATCCTGTGGGATCTCAAAGGGATGTGGGTTGTTATTTAATTGCAATATCTGCAAGTGTTTATGAGCATGTGTAGAGACTGTCAATTGCCAACCAGGCACAGCAGTGGTGAGATGTTAACTCCCTCGCCTGGTATGCATGACGTTGATGGTTCGATCCCGAGACCCTGACGCCTGTATATTTGGAGGTTGCATGTCTCTTTCCCCGTGTATTTTTTCTCCGGTCCTCCGGGGTTTTTCGCTGTACATTTAGAAACGTGCGTTTAGAGTGTTTGGTTGCTAGACATTTCCACGTGATAAGCCACTTTGTTGAGCTTTCATTTGTGGCCAGTTCGCTTCTGAAAAATTAACCCGTAAAAACAAAGTTTTTCACTATAAATCCTTTATATGCGTGGCGGCTAGAGTCCTCTCGTCCTCTGGCTTGAGATGGCTGCCACCTATGGGTCAGATGATTACCTGCCATCATTAAGCAATTGGTAATTAAATATAATTTATTTTTTCCTAAAAAGTGTAAAATTTTGGAAAAAAATTTCACGAAAATACATTGTCACGCACAACAAGTCTGTGTGCAAAATGTCAGCTCGATTGGATCACGGGAAGTGGGTTAAAAAACGACCGAAAGATTTGCACGGTCGTAAGCGCGCAAGCAAGCAAGCAAGTGAACTTAATATAAAGGATTTAAAAAAGAGCTGTATAGTTCAGTGGGCCTTGCCTGATAAAACAAAATAGGAATAATTAAAATTTAATTTGTTGGGTCCCACAGACACTTGCGGTCCACTACCTCAAGAGTAGACGTTATAACCGTAAGTTATTCCCACACAAAGATTAATATTTACAGATTGCACCAGATTTTGTCCTTTGGGTCAACATTTCCAGTGTCTTGCTGGTAAAAGTTTTAACACATCGTACTCTCCCTTAAGCATTATAGTACATTATGACCCACTGATTCACGTATTCAGGTCATAATGTACTGCCTGCCTTGCTTAAATTGGCTTTTCAAGTGTGGCGAGTTGATGAGTTCTGTGTCAGTCACCAATTATTGCATTTTAACAGATCATATTATATTCGGCTTTTCGCTTAAATTTGGACGGGGAAAAAATCTGATGTTAATAGTTTGAAAACTATTACTGTGATTGACATGCGAAGAACGCTCTTTGTAGGGCATGTACATGGGGTGTCGCAAGTGGGGATATTTTCTAACACTGAGTAGTGCACTGCTCGCTACAGAGTTCCAAAGAGACATTTCCTGATATCGCGACATGATACACACAATTGTATTATAATTGGGGACAACAAAATAAGCAGCCGATAAAAAATATAAAGATAGCAGATTTGACGCATTGTTTTCTTATTCAACGTAAGCAGTGTCTGGTTTTAGGCAGTTATGTTGTGTATTTGCATTGCTGAGTAGTTTGTGCACTGCGCTACAGACCCAGAGACCTAAGTTCGATTCCCACTCACAGCCAACATCTAATTTCTGAATCGGTCCTGGGCCTCCCCTAGGACGACTCAGCCCTAACTGAGTACCTGGTGTGGTGTATAAGCACCAGCACTGGGGAGACAAAGACTGCCGGTAAAGGTGCTTGCCACCCACCCCCTCGTGTACCGTTCCGGCCTTAATACGTGCACACGAACGGCACTTGCCCCGAAAAGTCTGTTGAAGGCTACTTGGAGGATCTGTATCTCTCGTTCGTGTCTGTGTATGTCCCTGCCCACCGAACGTGTTAAGAAAAAAACACACACAGGATGCACAACACTCAGGAAAATTCCGAATCCTCCAACCATCACCCTGCTGCTGGAAGTGCTAAAGTATTGACACGGGCGACACATCGTCCACTGCATTCATTGTGTGTTTGGGTGGGGGGGGTTGGGGGCGGTAGGGGGGGGGGGTCGCTTGGAGGATGGGCAAAAAAATTGCACATTCAGCCAAACACGTGGAATTCCACGCTTTACAATTTGCATAATGGTCATGCTGGCTGCTTGCGAGAGAGAGCGAACGTGATCCTAGCGTTGCTGGGAGGGGGAAACGAGCGGCGATTACGACTGTGAAATGCCAAATATGCCAGCCAGCAAAAGTATGCATTTCCCCCACCCCTTTTTGGCGCTCTGCTGATATGTGCCTGCTTTTAATGTGCCGGGCACTTGTTTTGTGTGGGGTTTGGGTTGGGCAGGGTCAGCTGGTTTGTCTTAGACATGCACATCTCTGGTTGGTGAGTGGCTGGGAATATCGGCGGGTGACATAGGGTGGCGGTGGCTTGGGAAGGCCTTTATCCAGCAGTGGATTGAGCTTGGCTGATGATGACGGTGGTGAGGCATCGACCCCGCAGAGTCTCCGGCTGTGAATTTAATCAAGCACTTATTTTGCGCCAATGGTTAAATTATTACCGCAATGATCATCATCATCATCGACACCAACATCATCGTCACCGTGAGCATCATCGATAAGTGTAAATATTTGCAACGTAATAAATTGCACTACGATCAAGCAATGCGAAATTATAATTGTTTCCATGTAGGGTTTGGCGGCTGACCTTATAGCAAATGACCTCAATGACCCTGAATCCACACGCACCCATCCCCCCTCATCAAAGGCGGCTGCCTCGTTGACCCACTGCTTCCTCTGCTCCTCATCCTCCGGTTAGACTCCAAAAGCCTGAAGCCATTTCCAAACGAGAAGCAACCTTGATGCATTGCGGTTCCTGTTGGGCGATATTGCGCGTTCATTGCACGCGATTTGTACGTGCGTGTTAATTCTACAGGCCGTGCGGTACGTACGTTTGGTGCGTGTATATTTGTAACATTTTGGAAATGCAAGTGGTGTCTGAGAGCCTCGAATGAGCCGAGGTCGACTCGGCCGAACGTGAGTACTTGATGCGCCGTTGGCAAACACCAGCGGTGGGGAGACAAAGGCGGCTGGGTGTGTGTGTTGCTGTCCACACTATCTGCGTACAGTCCTGTGCCACCCTGAGCATCTCCAGACAGCCGTTATGTCCGCAATGGTAGATGATCTTTACACACGCGTTGTATGTATGTGTGCACACACACGTGTGTGGTGTGTGTGTGTGTGCGATGCGTATTCTACACAAAATCCATGCGTTTGTATTTGAGCACATTGCCGTGCATATGCATGCACTATCGCTGTACCGTATAACGTCCACGTTTGCTCAGAATGCCCTCTTGGGCGCTGCAGGCGTTTGTGTACACGTGGGTGGGTTGCGTCGTTCCGTAGATGATTTGGCACGAGGCGATATGCACAGGCACTGACATGGCACGCGCGTGTGCCTGGGTACGGACGCAAGCGCTCCGTGAGCCCAGTCAGTGGAACAACCAACGGGGTTTTTTTAGAAGCAGAGAAAAAACACCGTCTAAATGAGAAGAGCGATTAAGGGAAAAAAATGTTTTGTTTCAATGGGGAAGAGAGAATGTTTAACCAGATCCTCTTTCCCAGGCAATGGGCAGCTGTAAGCAACTGTCGTCTAAATCTGCTGATACTCGTTTCCATGGCTACCTCTTCCCCCACAATCCCAATCCCTCCAACCCTCGTGTGTCTCTCTCCCCCCCCCTCCCCTCTTCTCTCTCCTCCACTCCGCCTTTTGATTTTTTTCTCCACCCTCTCACCCTTCGCTCCGCTGTGCTTCGTCTCGGAAACCGGTCTTTGTCCGTCGCATTATCGCGCAATGAAAATTTAACAACCGTTGAAGATTTCTGCTCGTTGTATTTCTCGGACGGGCGGGCGCGTGGTGTTTGGCGGTGCTGAAGGGAGAGCTCATTCGTCCGCCCGTTCGTTCGTTCAGATAGCCGGGGCGGTGGATTTGCCCTAGTGGCCGGCGGGTTTGTTTGTTTGTTTATTTATTTATTCGCCTATTCCGTCCTTCACCCCCGGCTCGCGATGCTGAAAGCGACTCGGGTTAGAATGCATGCGGCGTGAAAAAAAAAAACCTTGCAGCAAAAGGGGGCTAGTGGGGGGGGCGGTTGTGAGCAGCAGCGGTGGTGGTGGTGGTGGCAGAGCTATGTGCGTGACAGGGCTGGCTCGGGCTCCATTGCGTGCGAGCGCGCGCGTGCGCAGGCACCGCTGCCTGCAAAATCGAGCGTGCTAATTCCCGTTAAGAAAACCCGGTGCCGCCGGTAGCGTCGCGATTAACAAAAAAAGATTTCTCTCTATATACCGCGTGTGAGCAAAACGACAAAAAAGAATATAAACCCGCCCCCACCGCTTCCCAATTGGTGATATAAGACAGAGAGAGAGAGACAGAGAGAGATATAACATTCTCCGCACCGCGATACGAGGCCCTTGAGCGTCAAGACATTGCACGGTGGCCAAAAGAGAACGACTTGCCCTCTTGCGGGATTCCTGAGCGCCGGGTGCCATTCATGGCCGTTGCACTGCCGGTGTCCGGGCTGCGTTAATTCGTACATTAGTCTCACGGCTGAGCGAACGAGCGGGCGAGGGGGCGAACAAGAAAAGCGGTGCAAGCTAGCCGCGAGCCCGTGGTGAAGCCGTCCAAAGAATACTCGATGACTCCGCGCCCGGGGCCGGATTGCCGACTGCTACTGGCGTCCGTCGGTGTCGGGAAGCGGGCGGCCAGTCGGAGAGGCGTCTCGGATGCAGAGCTTGCGCCGCATGCGACGGCCGATACCGAAGCGATCTCGGAGCCCTAGGCTACGGGAGCCAGAGGTACGTGCGCGCGTCCGAACAACAACAACGACGACGTGCGTGCACACGCCAGGCTTTGCGTGAGTTCAAGGGGTGGGGAGTAACCACGGGGCACTGCTCAAGGCAAACGTTGCGGGTTCTTGTTACACCTGCCGCCGCAAAATGAAAATTGCGGAAGGCTCGTGCGGAATTTTAATAAGCAAACCGATTCCGTGTATTCCACGCGATTCGTTTTCGGGAGGCGGCATTCGGGTTTGATAATGGGAATGCCTTTCTCAGCAGGAATGTGTGTGTGTGTTTATCGAACGTCTGAGGTTCATCGCTTCATAGCCAGCATCAGCGTCTGATAAGATTTTGCTGCATGAATAGCACGGCAAGTGCCATATTTTGGCAATGAGTCAATGATTTGACCCACTGTTTGTAAAAGCGATTGTTTGCCTGTCTCAAATTTGCATGATGACCAGCATTCTTAAAATGTCGCTTCTGTGGAATTAACCCAGTAATAATTTTGTAGACAACAACAGAGCAATTGATCTAAATGATGATGGTAATGATTATAGAGCTACACGTGTGTATATATGTTTTATTTAACACATTTTTATTGAAATATTTATCAGTGCAAGTTAATCGGTTTCTCATTTTACCCAGGAAAACGTCTCTCAGCTTCAATATCATCTTTTTTCAGGGGGGTTCTGCTTAGTCCCATGCAAGCTCAGTGCCAGGAGAAAACCAACATGTATCACATTTGTTTTAATCAACTTATGGCCATTTAAGTACGAAAACCTATCTCTCAGACGAGAACGCAAACGCTTGCGCATTCGTGGTAGATGACGAAGTGTGTGAAGGTAAACATGGCAAAAAATGTAACGGTGCAGCTCTGAAAAATTCTTCTTCACACCACCGCTGCTGGAAGACGAAAGTACAGAGGCCCACTAGCGGGTATTTGTTGGCCTACTCTTCCACAGCGGCCAGACGTCTTGGGAGAGTGGATACGGCACGTGTGCACGTACAAATATTCAATTTCCCTTGTACCTGTTCTGTATGTTCAACGCATTTTAATCGTACATCCAAGGCAGGGCACAGAACATTGTTAGGAGACTAGGATTTAAATTAGTTTTTCAAAGCTACGGACAAAGCAAGAGAGAAAATTGGCGCTTCTGGAATAACACTCGGCAGACATCTGTACAACCGGGCTCAGAATATGCATTTTTTTAGCTGCAACTGGGATAACATCGCACGTGTTATGTGTTTCATGCTGTAATAGCCTGAATTCAAATTAGAATGGCGCCTTTGCACTTTCGCCCGACTTAATCGCTAGCTGTTGGGAAATGTGACAACAAACGAATTCTCAATCAGGGCATTCAAATGCTGCATTGGAAATGATTGCACTGGGTGATTGTATTTCCTTTCCACTGATGCTAGAAATGGGAAACATTTTTTATCTTACGATGGTAGAAAAATCTAAAAGTGTTGTGTCTCAGCTGACAAAATCAACGATGGGTTATTCTCTATGGTCTTCAATAGCACAATGTAGCCATGTAAAATTAAATGGAAAATGGTAACCAAGGTTGCCTTCTCGAAATTAAGTGCACGACTGACCATAGCGATGGCGAGATGTTAAGTCTCTCGCCCGGTACGGTGGTGGGGAAAAGTGCGGGAACTTCCACCCTTTCCAAGATATCTGGCCAGCGCGGTTGCATAGGCCAAACATAGCCTCAAGAATTGCTCTCTAGATCTGCCTCTAGCAGAGGCCCTCCCACCAGCAGTGACGTGAGCAAGACATTTCAGGGCTGCACTTTTATATTTGTACAAGTGGCAGAGGTTCACCCACTGTTATAGGGTGCTCCATCACATGGCTGCTCAGTGTGTCTTCTTGCATTCGAAATATGATTATCGGAGGGGCAGAGCAGAGAAGGTCACTGTGGAATTAGCCTATAATTGATTGCATTGCCATTATGATTCACGGTTTGTTTGTGTGAATGACCCGTTGCTGTGTTGTTTAGACCGTGCCGAGTATTTCTCCCCCGAGGGAGAGGGCGCATTGGACTGGCGGGGTTGAGTCTGATCAATGCAAGCAGCCACCGTAGAGAGGGATGGCACCGTGATGGTCACAGGCCAACCAAAAGAGTCCCCTTGCTGCTCGTACGATTGTTTGGGTGGATCCCATCTCCGGGGGTGGTCCTGAGTCAAAGGTAGAAACACCACGTTCCTATGGCAGGGGCCGGTACCTCCAGAGGACAACTACCGTTGGCTTCTCACCAAGCAGTGCAGCCTCAAGTGGTACTCAGTTTACACACTCTGGAGAGATGATGATAATGATCTGAAGAGATGATGATGGAGAGATGATGATGATGATTTCGCACTTCTGATTAGCACGTTTGGTTATGTACTATGCGAAAGAAGTTCAACATACATACATACATGATGATGCAGAATTATAAATTACGATGATGATGATGGCGTTGTTGATGATGGTGGTGGTGGTAATTTTGATGATGGTATTTGCTGATTATGATGGTAACAATAATAACTCAAAATTACAGTGATACAATTTTGGGGCATTTGAACTCACAGTCAAATGATCGAGATCCCTGCTGATGAACCAACTGACCAGACTGACCCCAGCCACACTCACATATTACAGAGATTACACGTGAAGACAATCCCAGTGTGGATATACCCAGGTAAACTGCAGTTAAGTGGAAGGGCCAAAGACGAGCAAATCAGCCCGCACTAAAATGATTACTTCGGTTGATTCATTGAAATGCTAGGTTGCATGCCTGCGGCGAAAATCAATGTGGCCCCGTTTTAAATGACTGCGAGCTGACAAATTTTCCAGGCAAAATCCCACCGTTCTAATACTCATTTTCCAAAACCTCGTTCACACCTTCCGATATATTGACTCTTCCACAAAATAAAATAGTCTGCGGCCTTCGTTTTGTCCCACGTGGATTCATTATCATCTCCTCCATGGATTATCTGAACACATAGTCACCACATGTAAAATGACAAATAATTCTTCTACTCGGCTACTTATTCAGCCCCGTAACGTCAGGGGGCACTGGGGGTGACCGAGTCCCCCCCCCCCTACTGATGACTCAGGCCCTCCTTTCTTGACCCTCACTGCAGAGTTGGGCGTCGCAAGCCTTAACTTGTATGCATTCTCCATCGCTTCGATTGCCGATCTCCCAGCGTGGGAGTGAAAACAAAAATGGCGAATATTCTTGGTTCTTTCGGTAAAGTTCTTCACCTTAGGACGGCTGCTTGCGTTGTGGCCGAAACGCCGTGAGAATTGCATTTTATGAAGTTTTATTTTTCTTATATTATTATTTCCCTTCTACGTGACTTTACCGAAAGAACCAAGAAGATGAATCCCTGCAGACACGAAAGCTTTAAATCGAAAAAAGGGCGAATTTATGTAATCACATTGCCTTCGTCCACACAGCAGCATGAATGTGTGCACCAGAATTGATCGTTTGGCGGGTCGCATATGGTTAGGTAAAGAGTGGGTACTCCCACCATCGCTAGCCGGCATTGAACGGTAGGCCAAGATGCTCTCTGAGAGAGGTTCTGTGGAGCTCGCTTGAGCGGGAAAGTCTTCCACCGGCAGTGGGGCATGAGCAACCAATGTGCAGGGCTGCACGCCTGATGAAAGCAATCGACGGGACGTAACTCAAGAGCACGTGAGTTCATCCGTGCTGTCCGGACAGAGACGTGGGAGGATGAGCCGCAGGCTTGCCGTGTTTCTAGGTGCAAAGGCAGATGGAAAGTCGGTGCTCTGTCGTCGTTATTATCCAGCTGGGGTGACCTGCGACTCGGCACGCCGCTAACGGCCACCGCCGCCCTCCGCCACTGATAACGACCCGTGCATACGCGAGCACGCGACAAAGACAAAGATAGCCTCCACATACTTTTTTGGAGCAAGTGCTGTTAGCGAGCACCTATTAAGTCTGGCACGGCACACGAGGCGGAGGGTGGCCAGCATTTTGCCCGATGTTTACACACCACACTAGGTACTCGGTTGAGGTTGAGTCGACCTAGGGGAGGCCCAGGATGAGTTCAGATATTCGTCACTGGTGTTGGCCGTGAGTGGGAATCGAACCCGGGTCGCGGGGTTCGGAGCGCAGCGCGCTAACCACTCCCCATCGCACGTACACACACTTGCGCACACTTCTGCACGCGCACACGCGTGCAATAGACTTCCAAATCCAGAGGCAGCATGGTATACGAGGTTTTTTGTTGTTCCGTGGCACGAGTTCGTCATCACGTGACGGGTTTGAGCTCATAATCTTTAAAGCACGAGTGGATATTCTCTGCAATTTTCACTCTGGGAATTTTCAAACGGACAAAAAGTAAATCCCTTCATATTACAAATCACTCGGGGTTTCCGTGCGTTCCCAGCCAGTTCTACGTGTGTGTGTGTAAAGGACTGTCAGTTTGTCTTTTTATTAAGGAGACTTCATAGGGAAATGCAAAGCCACATGTTGACTACTTTTCAACGTGCAAATACCAAGCGTTGGTATTTTTACGTGGTGGTGCAGCGCCTATAACCCCAAAATACTGCGAGGCAGGGTCGATGAATCGCTGATAAAACACCATCTGCCATAGACACTCGGGAGCATATAGGCAGCGAGGTGCCTGCATGAGGCAGTACAGCAAATAGGTTGCTGACCTATTTATTCACACCTTTAGCATTCTTCCCTGGCATGCGTGGGGTTTTCTACGCACGCGTAGGCTTTGAGAGCATTTGGCTGCTATAAATGTCCACGTGATAAGCCCTTTCATTGAGCTATCATTTGTGGCCAGGTCGCTTCTGAAAACGAGCTACATAGCTAGTTGGCCTTACCTGGTAAAATAAAATACAATTGTTGGTTAACATTTCGTTGGACACTGGTTTCCTGAAAAAAAATGATTAAAAATAACATGTATTATATATATGCCCTCTAAAGAGTAGTTTGAGTTTTCAGGATAATCATACTCTCTCAAAATGTTTGTGTAGGCCCATCCGAGTCTCCCTATTT